AATTTCTGCAGGACTTTGACCTCGAGTGCCAGTTTTGATCAAGTCCTAAACACGGTGTGCCGGCGCCCAATATATCGTCAACCGATGCACACAATCACACTGCATCGCTCAACGCAATCACGATGTCTAACCTCACCCTCCACACTTGGTGAACCATCCAACATACCGACCCTGACACCGCTACTATATACGGCCACCTGACACAGAACCTCAACAAACCTCTGGAAACCGATATGGAAGAATCCAAGCGGGCACGCACGCCTCTTCCTGCATCAGTGGCCCCACTTTCTCCTCGACAACGATATCTTGTTCCTCTGAGACCCGTCATCACATCACCTATGTCCATTACTTCCGGGATACCTGGTCGAATGCGTGATGTTAGACCTGCACTCGAAATTGTGGCTAGCGGTGCACGGAGCAGGCTGCACGCGCACGCTTCTGGTGGCCCCAACTGCGCTCATTCATCCTCCACTTCTGCCAGCCCTGTGATATGTGCACATATTTAAAATCGCCCACTCCTTCCCCGCTTGCACGCACGCAATCCATCATTACCCGCTTTTCTTGTGACGCGCCGGAGTAGATATCCTTAGCTCCCTGCCGATCTCGGTCAGAGGATACGAATATGTCCTTACAATTTTTGAGTATTTCACAAAATGACTCGAGATAGTACGCCTACTCCCCTGAGACGCCATTTGCGTTGCTAACGTCGTCAAACGGAATTGGTTCTGCGTTGGGGCACTCCCTTCTACCAGGAAGAATGTAATCTTCCAGACATCAATGAGACCCGTACGAAACCCTACCACGCGAAGCGAACAGCACAGTTAGAAATATCCTTCTCGTCTTCACCAAGGACAACCACAAAGACGATTGGGATGTCCAGTTACCTTTCTGTCTTTTGGCCTATGCGGCTTCCATCCATTCTTCAACCGAGTTTACATTCCATTACTTCTGGACAAGCCTGGAATTTCATCCCCGCCGAACAGACCCACAGTATCCCTTGAATTCACCTCAACCTCATACCACCACCGCATACGCCTCCCACTTGCGCCAGACAATACGTAGCACGCATAACTCGACACGTTAGGCGGTCGGCACAGTAGCCTCCCATCAAAAAATACATAGAGAGATCGACACTGGACCAACACTGCGTAGCATGTTGGCGATCTAGTCATGCATCATTAGCCCAAACCATCTCGCGGTGTGTCAGCCAGATTTTGCAACTCTTGGCAAGACGCTTTCATCATTCTGGATACCTTAAGCCCTACGAATGATCTCCTACATGACGAGCTCCACCTAGTGGCGAACTACTCCATATAGACAGTCTTAGCGTTGAATAGAGAGGCCAAATCACTGTGTTTGTTGAAGATGTGCGGGCGGTGGGTGGAGAGAAGCACATTCAAGGCCGCATTCTGGGCGTGACTGAAACGTCTCGAGATGGTGCTGCCGGTTAGTCAATATTACAATCGCACCTAAATAATCCTTTCTGATCGGAAACGCATTTCGAAATTTCTGGCAACATTTCATGATGTACGCCACCCACTCTGCATCATCTGAATGCTGCAATCATTGAGCGTCAGTTGCCCTCATCTGTTAAGATCTGTGAGGGCAACCGTGGACCCGTGCGCCAATCAGAAATATTAGGCGGCCAAAGGTCCTGCTACAAAGATCAGCTCTTTCGCTTCTCAACTGATTCCTGAAACTTGTTCCTTTCCGTGAAGCTGTAACTGTTTCTCGAAAGCACGGGCTGGATGTTGTTTTTTAAAAGGCGACTATACCCAATGTGACACAGAAGCTCGTGGATTGGCAGATAACCAAGGAAGAAACTAGAAAGCCGGTTTTTATGTTAGCATATTTCACAAGATTTGGGTTGGCGTTGGTGTCTTATAGTGCGACGTAAATCAGGTCTTGGTTTTTTTGGAATTTAAGGCAGAATGTTTTATCTGGTCGCAACTTACGGAGCGATTTAGAAGGAATTAGAACCTCATACGTGTTACGGCAATACGACAGTAAATTTTCCAGCTAGTAAAGTACACTGAAGAACTTTTTGCTTGGAACACACGGGTCTTGTTGCGGTTATTTGCATAAAAATCTTCACAGATGATTATTTTTCGCTTTGGCAATTTTTCATATAGTAAGAGAAGAAAAGAGTAATTCTGAGCGTACCAAGTAGTTCAGTTATATTTTATTTTCCCATGCCTCAGCGCATGCCTTGGTCTGAAGAGCTTTCCTTAAAAAATAGATTAAAAGTGGCAAACAAACGCCTGAATACAAATCGAATATGTAAGGTACTTTTGGTCAGTTATACTAGCATCTTACAGGAGATCTTGAGAACTCGGTACGCTACCAAGTGTCCTCCAATAATAATTTTCAGACGTGATTGGGACTACACGGCTTAAAAACCCAAACCCTTTCAAATTTTTGTATTTGGGTCCACGTATGACGAGCCAATGATGGTAGTTGACTTATTTATGTCAGAAGAATACCCGATAGACAGTAAAATTGAATTTTAAGGCACGAGTATAATCGGAATTTACGGCCAGTCCTGTCATTACCTCGTGATAATAATTGGAACGTCTTACCAAGGAGCCGACGAAACACGTGGACATCAAGCAGTCAGGAAGAAAGCATGCTATGTGCGTTCGTTAAAGCGAGAAGATGTTTCTCAAATAAATGCTTTAGAAAATCTCCTAATTTGACTTGCATACTTCATACACGTTGAATGTTAATGCTGATTACAGGCTACAAACTGTGAACACGAAAAGAAGCATGTGCATGGAAAGAACACGAACTGCAGGATATGTTTTTAAGATGACACAATTAATTAAACTCAACCAGCTCTCCCTTTTCTCACCCGTTCAGGATAGATTTTAAAAGCACGGTGGAGAGTTGGATAGAAGTTCATCAGAGAGCGTGGTTCGAAAGGAACTCATCAATTAATCGTTGTCCTTCAGGCGACTGACCCATAAATTTGTATTTTCTCGATCTCCATTGTGAGTGTATTTCAAAAAGGAAGCGGAAGTTTTTGGGCGTCAGTCAAGGATGACAACATTACCCATCGATTGGTAGGTAGGCACTAAAATGTGACATCTGGGGAATAATGTCACTGAGAGACCGTAAAACGTAAATGCCAACAGTCATGTCAAAACACTCGCAAAGTTGGAAGAATTTTCTCAAGAGGAAGACCAGACGTATGAGTACTGGACCAGGTAAAATTATCAGACTAACCTAATCTCGTCAAAAAACAACATTCAAGCATCTACTTTCGCCTCTGATGTGTCATCATCCAATTTGTCCTTTATATTATCTCCTGTTGTGTCCGGAATGCAGTAAAGTAGCATCACCTCCGCTAGAACAATTGAGCCGTAGATGACGACTGGAAGGCCATGCCTAAATTTCTGATCGAGTTCGTTAATGAAGCTGCATATTATACTGCCCACCCGTCCCAGACCAGATGCATTGCCCAGCGCCTTGGTCCGAATGACTGCGGGGAACAGTTCAGGCACATAGATGAAGATCATGTTGAAGGCAGCACCCAGCAGAGCGAGAGATAGATTGCAGGAGACAACAAGCGCCAGCTCTGAAGAGGGTTGAATGATGACTGTATAGAGGCTGCCAATGAGTAGTATGACTGCTGCTATCGAGTAGAGAGCTACTAGTGGTTTGCGGCGGCTTCGCAGGCAACTGTAGAGGATGGTAGAGAGGATGGAAGCAGGCACTGCTGTGACAGCATTGACAAAGGATATTAAGTAGATAGAACCCCGAATAACTCGGGTGTAGTAGAGAAGACCGAAGAAGCAACACAACTGTCCAGCAAATAGGCAAGTCGAGAGGATGCTTCGCTTGGCTATCTCCGCGGTCTGGTAGGGTCCGGCGACAGCCTCACATGCCTTCAAACACACTGTCTGATCACAATGTTGAGGACACCGTCCACAGCGTTGAGTGAGGCGTTGGATCAGAGATCGTCGGCAAACCGGTGTTGGCTCGTAGTTTAGTTCCTTGGCAAACTCATCTCTGGTCATGATTGGTCGTCGCTTGCTACATAATAGATTATTGATTTTGTAGGCTCTGTAGAGTGTGGAAACAGCTTCATCTAACCGATTTTGTGAGACGAGCCACCGGGGTGATTCGGGTAGAAAGTAGAGCAAAACGACACCGAAACATGGTGGTGCGACCACAATCAGATGCAAATATCGCCAGTTATGTATGTACATGGCCGCTAAAGCATGGATAGCGCGGCATAAAAAGTTAAAATAGAGGGCCCAGGGAGCGCCAAAGATTGACCTGTAGCGGGCATTGGTCATCTCTACCAAAAGTACGGTGATTGAAGTCACCTTAGTTGTGCAGCTTATTGATAGCAGGGCTCGCATGATCGTGTAAGTGACGTAGTTGGGTGAGAAGGAGACCGCCAGGCCAAAACCGCACTCTAAAAAGGTTGCCATGTAAATGGCCTTCTTCCGTCCCAGGCGATCGCCTAGGACACCGCCTAGCATAAAACCTATCATCATCCCAACCATGTAAACTGACGTGCTGAAGGGTACTTTCCAAGCCTGATCGCAGACAAGGTCCCACTCTGCCACAATGCTGCTTGGGTACTGGTGCTCCCATGGGTCAAATACATGTCCATAGGGACAGGCCTCAGTTCTGCTGTTCTCTGCGAACAGCAGCGTTCTGTTCTTGAAGAGCTCCTGCAAATACACTGTTTTGTTGGCGATCTGGTAACGTTGACAACCGTACAGTCCCTGATGCAGGCCTTCGTCATTAGGATCTCTGGGCCAAGGACCTACAAGAGCGGCAGCTTCGTCGAAGCTGAGAGCAGGTCGGTTGGCGTCTCCTGCGAAGAATGCCTCCACGACTGGCTCCATTTTGCACCGATAGCGAGGTACGGCGTTTGCGTACACCGGAAAGGTGATGGCGGAGGGCGTCGAGAAGCAGACAAGTATGACAATCATGACTTGCCAGAGTCCGTGTGAACCGACAAGCCTGTCGTAAACATCGTCAATCTGTAGGAGACTGCAGGACTGCTGAGAATGCAGGGATGACGGCGAGTCAGAGCGTTTCTCTTCCCCGTGTGGGTCTGCAGAGTGTTGTGTGGACATGGCGTTCTGCAGGCTAGAGTCTGGACTCCTCAGTGAGTCCCTGGGGCGTTGGCAGAGGTTTTTAACTGCTCGAGTCAGTGCACAACTTTGACGCTGGTCGCCCTCAATTTGCATATTTTAAGACCGCCTCCGGTGGTGGCGATGATGACCGGAAATGCGACGCCTATGATGGTCACTAAGAGCGAAGTCAAATCCTAGGAACGTTAGTACTTTAGATGTGAGGGAGGGGGAGTGGAGTGGCTGGAGCTCAGATCATGCTTGAGTTGGCGGGACTTGGGGCTAGGCTGTTTCACGCCAATTCCCGTGTTCTGTGAGTTGGGTAAGGGAAGTGCGTTTAACGTCTACGATACCGCAGCATGGGGTAAATGGAGCCTTTTTGGGCCGGTGTACAATACCAACAGCAAACTACGAAACAGTGTCTTTGGTCGCCTCTTAGGCGCTCTTGATGTGTGGTAAGACATGCCATGTTTGAGCCGCATAGATACACTTGGGGTTGGCAAATCCGCCTCCAAAATAAACAATTCATTTCGATAAACGGAAAGAAGGGATCGAAACAAACATATTCGATTAAGGTTTTCTATAGGAATGACAGCGAATTATTTGGGAGCTAAACTTAATCCATGTTGCCTTGCACTTTTCCGACAAGACAACAGTCAGGAATCGGTCATACAAATCACACTTTGTGATGAAATTGTAGACCTAACAGGTCGGAGAAAATGAACAGAATAGGTCATGCTTAAGCATCAGGCTTGACTTGTTTCGCCTATATCTTACAAGAAGACGTGCTATG